TCTTATATGCCAATTATGAGATGCTTGCCTTTCACCTCAGAATTCACCATTTGTCTGTGATGTGAATGTAAATGGACATCTATCCTATAAATATTTCAACATTTGTGGGGCAAGATGGCTCACACATGAAGTTCTATCTACCTAGGAGGCTGAGGCAGGAGGCTCACAAGTTCTAGGTTAGCCTGGGGAACTTAGAGAGACCATGTCTTAAAACAGAGCTGCGGATATAATTCAGTGCTCCTCAGGCTCAAGTCCCAGTACCATGAGGGTAAAAACTTCAACTGGCACAACGTTAAAACTTTGTCAAAAGAGGGCACTGTAGAGGTTTTGCTTTCTATGAGTTTGGCAACAAGATCCTACAGTTCAGATAGCTTCTTTAACTTCTGGCTTCTCCAGTGACCAGCTCCCCTTCTGGGCAGGGCTCCTTTAGTGCCAGTCTTCAGAGCCAACAGCTATTCCAGGTTCTCCCTGGCAGATTTATAAGAGATAGCATCTTCTAAGAAACCTCCCTGAGAAAAGTTTTTTCCCAGCACCACAGCGGGAATAATTCTGGGAAGTTCCACACGGTATATTTCCAGTTAGTTTCACTGACATGGCACCAATGCCAGCAAAATACACCAGGCCCTCTCCAACAATATCTAAATCTTAGCTCAGAGTCAGGAGAACAGTCTCTTACCTTACACAAACTACCATGGTAGGGACAGGAGATGGTCTTCTGGAATTTGGGGGGTAATGTATGAATATATTTCAAGGTGCTACTAAAATCAACTTAAAGAGAGTCAGTTGGGAAGTTTCCAACTTTCAGTAATGAAGAGGACAACAGAAAATTCTGCAGCAAATCTTAGTTGGAGCACAAACTAATCTACCACTTGAGACTCATGATCCCACAAATCCAATGTTATCTGATTCATTTGGAATCAGAAGAGACCTAGAATAGCAAAGGCAATTCTGGGCAACAAAGGCAAGGCAGGGGACATCACAATCCCTGACTTGAAATTATACTATAAAGCTACTGTGGTGAACACAGTGTGGTACTGGCAAAACAAAACAAAACAAAAAACGAGAAACCTTAGACTCGAAGATCAATGGAACAGACTACATGATGCAGAAACAACTCCAGACATACTCAGCCATCTTATCTTTGACAAAGGTGGCAAACACATGCACTGGAAGAAAGATAGGCTCTTTAATAAAGGGTGCTGGAAAAACTGGCTCTGTAAATGCTAAACATTAAACTTGGGACAAGTATCTTTCACCATGCACTAAACTAAATTCAAAATGGAAGAAAGATCTCAATATTAAGATAGAAACATTAATGCTGCTGGAGGATTGAATAGGTAAAGCTTCTGAAGACACTGGTGTAGACAGACTTTATGAATAAAAACCCAATCACATCAGAACTATCACAAAGAACCAACAGGATCTCATCTTATGAAAAAGCTTTTGCACAGCAAGAAAAACCACCAACAGAGTGAAGAGACAACTCGTAGTGTGGGGAAAAAATGTTTGTCAGCTATTATTCAGACAAAGGATTACTATGGAGAATGTATAAAGAATAAAAAAAAAAAAAAAAAAAAAAATCAGACCTCCCAAATTTAAAGACCCAATCCAAAAACGTGCATCTGAGATGAATACAAACTTCTCAGATGAAGAAATAAAAAGCAAATAAATATATGAAAAAATGTTCAGCATCACTGATCATTCTAGAACCGCAAATTAAAACAACACTGAGATTCCACCTCACCCCAGGAAGCATGGCTATAATCAAGAAATCAACCAATAACAAATGCTGGAGGAGCTGTGGGAAAAAAAACCCTTCTCCATTGTTGGCAGGAGTGTAGACTGGTGCAACCACTGCGGAAATCAGTGTGGAGATTCCTCAAAATACTAGGACTGTAGGTCCCATTTGACCCAGGTATTCTCCTTTTGGGTATCTTCCCAGAAGAATTAAAAACATCATACCACAGTGATATATATGCACCCATGTTTAGAACAGCACAATGTGCAATAGTTTCAAAACAACCCAAATACCCATCAACTGAGGAATAGATAAAAAACATGTGGTCTTTTTATATAATGAATATTGCTCAGCCATAAAGCAGAATAAACTGGTGACTTTTATAGGTAAGTGGATGTAACTTAAGACCATACTCATTAGTGAAATAAACGAGATGCCTATGTGTAAACATCATGTTGTCTTCTTAGTGTGAAAAGTTGAAACAGTAAGTAAGATCCAAAATGTACAACAGATACTGTAAAATGGGAAGAAACTTCAAAACGTAAGCGAAACCAGGCAAGGGGAATGGAAAAAAGGAGGAAGGGAAAAGCAAAAGGGGATATATATATATATATATATATATATATATATATAAAACTTATGTAATAGTATACTAGCATATAATAGTATACTTTATTCTATAATAGGTAAAATTGTTATACTACTAATTTATCTTAGTTCATTAAAAAGAAAGGCTTGTGCTGATATTGTTTGAACAATTAAATGCTGTACTGTGAGTAACTAATGTAAAGATAACAATATGTGGGCCAGGGATCTAGCTCAGTGGTACAAGTGCCTGCCTGGCAAGTGCAAGGTCCTGAGTTCAATTCTTGGAACAAAAAAAAAAAAAGTAACAATAAGCAATATATTAACTCTTCTTACCCTCGTATCATATTGTTTTGCAATTTTGATTTTGGGGGGGTTTTTTCTCTTTAAAATACAAAAAAAGAAATACAGGGGCTGGGGATTTAGCTCAGCGGCAAAAGCGCCTGCCTGGCAAGCGCAAGGTCGTGAGTTCGGTTCCCGGTACCGGACAAAAAAAAGAAAAAAAAAAAAAAAAGGCAAAAAAAAGAAAAAAAAAAAAAAAAGAAATACAAACAACAAATTAATATATGAAAAAAATGTACCTCACTGATCATTTGAGAGATGCAAATGAAAACAACACTCAGGTTCCATCCCACCCCAGAAAGAACGGTTATTATCAAGAAATCAACCAATAACAGACACTGGTGGGGCTGTGGGGAAAAAGAAACTTGTCTCCACTGTTGGTAGGAGTGTAGATTGGTGCAACCACTGTGGAAATCAGTGTGGAGATTCCTCACCAAACTAGGATTAGATTCCCCATTTGACCCAACTATTCTCCTTCTAGGTATCTTTCCAAAAGAATTAGAAAAAAACATCATACCACAGCAATATAAGTGCACCCATGTTTATAGCATCACAATTTATAATAGCTAGATCTCAGAAACAACCCAAATACCCATCACCCAAGGAATGCATAAAAGAGATGTGTTCTTTTTATATAATGGAGTAGTACTCAGCCATAAAGAAGGATAAACTTGAGACTCTTCTATGTAAATGGATGCAACTTGAGACCATTCTCGTAAGTCAAATAAACCAGATGCACATGTGTAAACATTGTATTGCCTTCCTAGTGTGAAAAACTGAAAGAGTAAATAAGATTCAAAATGTGTACTACATACTGTAAAATAGGAGAAAGCTGTTGCAAAGGAAAGAAGAAGATGGGGGAAAGTAGAAGAGAAGGGAAAAGATATATATATATAATATATACATATATATTATATATAAGATAGTTAAGATCATTATACTACTAATTTCTCTTAGTTTATTGAAAAGAAAGGTTTGTGCTAATGTTGTTTGGACAATTAAATGCCTATATCATACTGAGTAACTAATTCAAAGATAACAATATGCAATGTAGTAACCATTGTTACCCTCCTATTATCTTGTTTTGAAATTTTTACTTTTTTCTCTTTAAAATAAAATTTTTTAAAAATTAGAGTTCATTTCATCCTGTTTTCAATATTTAAATCTCAAAATAACATAGAAATGATTTATACAAGTTTAACTCTAAATCCATGACTTTTTTTTTTCCCATTTTTTTTACATTTTCAGATGGGTTTGCTAAATTGCCCAGACTGGGCTTAAATTTATGACCTTCCTCCCTCAGCCTCAGAGTGGCAAGATTACAGGCATATGCCAGGATATGCAACCATGACAAATTAATTTTTTATATTTGTTGACAGGATTCCTTAACAGTCTAGTGATGAATTTGCAAATTATAGTTCTTTGCCTAAACTATCACTAATCAATCCCTAATTTATAGTTGCCAGTTACATAATTATTTTTAGTAATTCTGGGTCTTCCTTAAAATTCAAGACCTGAAAGGCTAAAATATGGAACACAAAATTAAAAGCAATGCTACAAGGATAATTTCCATTATCAAAAAGAGCAGTTCTTACATGTAAATACTAACAACCTCAAACAGCAAGGGTAAAAGTTACTGGCTTGTCTCTCTCCACATTCCAGGAAGTGACTTTGTAACTCTAGCCAGCTCTTAACCACAAGCAAACCCAAGCAAGCATGTGATGATGGGATGGTGCAAACTAAACATCTTGGGAAATAGCTGAAAGTGCAGAAGAGTCATAGTGACATCTTCTTAAAGCAGTGTCTGAATGTTGTGTCTATTAAGAAGAAAAGCACTAGGGAATTCACAATTTCGTAACAGTTCAACAAAAACTTAAGCCTTAACAAATTCAATAATCTGCTTATAAAACTCAAAAACAAGACTCCCACCAAAGTTTCTCAAGAGAAAAAGAAACTTCTTTTTTACAAACGTAGAAAATAATCACCATCATCATATCAAAAAAAGGTCAGGGAGACTTACAGCAGATTAAACATTAAACACTGAGTTAGTATTCTATGAGTTTTTTTTACACATTATAGAATTTCTTACAACAATAAAGAACTAAAACTAAAAGTCAAGGACAGTTAATTTTTAATCACCCCAAAATAACATGTATGATATTGTTAGGAGTGGTACATTAGGAGGGATGGGTGAAAAGATGCAAAAGTAAAATAGAAATTATTCCTTGAGTAATGTTTTATGATACTGCTTATAAGTCTGCCTTAAAAATCTGCTTCATAAAAGTAAAAATGCTAACTCTACATGGAAATTTCTTTTTAAAAAAGTTTTCCTTACTTGAGAGAGTCCAGGGGACGATGCATGTCCCGGGGGCGTTGCCGCAAGATTTGGATGCCCCTTGTTTATTTCATGTGCTGAATAAGGGGAAGGGGTTGGAGGTCCCGGCTGTCGTGCTACTTGTGTTACCTGTGAGCAAATCAAAATTTAATAAAAACATTATTTTTTAGTAACTCAAACCTTACTACATACAGTTGAACTGGTTAACTCATCTTTTAAAATTGGATTTTCTGCCTTACAAGTTATACTGAAGTACTGTACCAGACTGAATAATAAATATTTAAAGATAAATAAAACTTTTAGAAAAAGTACATTAATATTTTCATCAACTCGATGAAGCCAAAGATCTTAATAGAAAAAATATGCTAAATGAAAGAAGCCAGACTTCAGAATACTTAATGTATGATGATATTTTGAAGAAGGAATGGAAAAGAAATAAATGGTTGCCTGAGAAAGGAAAGGATTACTAAAAGTATGCAAGGAGATTTCTGGAGGGGACATAATTTCCCTCTGTCTTGAATAGTGAAAATCACATGTCTTGACGTGTTTGTCAACACCGATAGAACGAAACACTATAAAGGATGAATTTTTTTTTTTGTACCAGGAATCGAACTCATGACTTCAGGTTTGCCAGGCAAGTGCTTATGCCACTGAGCTATATCCCGGCCCCAAAGGATGATTTTTACTTTACTTATACGCCAGTAAATTTGAACCAAAGAAAGGGCAACTTTACAATGGGCTCAACTTTGTTTTTAAAAATATTCATCTAAGGGCTGGGGATATAGCTCAGTGGCATAAGCGCCTGCTTGGCAAGCGCAAGGTCGTGAGTTCAATCCCCGGTACCACAAAAAAAATTAAAATACAAATATACATCTAAATATTTGGGTAGATATATTTCTATACACGTATTGTTCTCCATGTGTAAACAGACATAATACACAGACATACACACATAAGTAACATTTAAAATATCTATAAAGATATGTTCCTCCTTTTTGTGGTACGGGTATTAAACCCAGAGCCTTTATATGCTAGACAAGTGCTCTACAACTGAGCCAAATCCCCAGCCCAAGAGATTCCTAAAATCCTAACAGTATTTTACATGTTTCTTTTCTCATTTTTATTTTCTAATGTAATGCAACAGCTATAAATTTGTACATTAGAAAAATAACAATTTCTATGTAACTAAAATTATATTTTCTCCATTTCTTGCTGGCAATACACTATCACTATAAAGCCAGTTTACTCAGGAACCTCTCCAGAGTACATCAGTCCTAGTTGGCTCCTCCTTCTCACAGTCTAACTCAGATTAATACTGACCATTTGGCAAACCTCCATGAATGGTAGGCAATTCAGTAGTCAAATGTGAAAGAATTCATTCTCCACAGACATCTTTTTAAGAATGTTTTAAAATGTACAAAATACAATATACTGGATTGCAATAAAAATCATTTATAGACAATCCCTAATTCACAATGACTTAATTTCCTATTTTTTTTACTTTATGATGGTACAAACCCAATTTATACAATTACTGTTACTCACTATCAATACAAGCAACAAATCACATGATATTGAACACCTTACTACAAAACAGGCTTGTGTTATGTAATTTTGCCCAACTGTTCTGAGCACATTTAAAGTAGGCTACACTATAATGTTCAGCAGATTAGGTATACCAAATGCATTTTCAGCTTACAAAAGTTATAACTTACGGTGGGTTTATCAGCATATAACCCCATCATAAGTGAAGGAGCATCTGTATAGGTATAAGATATTAAAACAAATTCGTGATCTAGTAATGCATGTTTCTTTATTCATACACTATGGCAGCTGTTACCTATATTTATAGTTCAAAGAATGATAAAATTCATTATTATACCTTTTATTTATCTCAGTTCTGATATCTCCTGAATTCTATCAAAAAATTGAGAGCTAGGCTTGGTAGCACAGGCCTGTAATCTCAGCACTCAGGAGGCTGAAGCAGGAAACTGCCATGAATTCAAGGCTAGCCTGGACTACTGTTATGGTTTGTGTCTAGATGTCCCCCCTCAAAGCCTCACGCAGTCATAGGTGGGACTTTTTCAAAGATGGCTGGATCTAGAGTATGCAATGCAAGGATTAAGGGTACAAGGATTACGGGTACGTGATTACTAAATAAAAAATAATTACAAGGGGCTGGGGATTTAGCTCAGCGGCACAGCGCCTGCCTGGCATGCACAAGGTCTTGAGCTCAATTCCCTGTACCGGAAAAAAAACCAAAAAAAAAAAAAATAATAATTACAGATACTGATTAGTATTTATTGGTTTATTTTTCTGAAAATTCTTTCAGATCCCTTTTATATTGCCCATAAAATACAAATGTTTCAATGAAAGAGAAAATGCATTTTGCTAAGCTAAATGTATTTAGTATCTGAAAGATACTACTACCATCTCAACTACAGAAGCAGGGAGTAAAAGTATAGAAAAGCTAACTGGACACCTGGCCAAAACCCTGTCTCAAAATATACAACTTCCAAAGTATATGCAGCTCTATGTGACGGCTCTGTGTTCAATCACCACATAAGAGGAGGGGTAGGGGAGAGGAAGGGAAAGGGAGGGAGAAAGAGATGCTGACTGTGGCAACTACTCAAAACACCTCCAAAGCTAAAAAGACTTGTCTGTTTTACAGTATTAATCTTAAGCAAAATCAACAACCATTTCTTCAAGTGCAGTATGTATTATATTTAAATTTAAAAGATTACATACCAAAAATTTTTATTACAGATATCACATCTTTGCAAAAATGTGGAACTTTCAGAATCCTCTTTCACCTGTCATTACACATAAAGCACAATCACTTTGAGAAACAAATGGCACGAGCCAGAAATCCTGACAACCGGCATGTCTTATGACTCAACTACCCCATTCCTCGGTACACACATGTACAGCAATGTTCACAGCTTTGCTGTTTTTAATAACCAAAAACTGGAAACAATTCAAATGCTCAGTAATAGAATGGATCAATAATCAGACACTATTTTCCTCCAACAAAGCAGGATAAAAAACCAGAGTTACAGAATTTAGATGACTTTCATATAGAAGTATATGAACAGTATAATTCAATTTATAAAAAGTTCCCTGGAGTTGCAGATACTGCATTCATGATCCTAAATTGAATTGGGTGGGGTGCAGAGGGGCCCACAGGGATCTTATATAAAAAGTTCCTGAACAGGCAAAACTTGACCATATTAAACTAAAGAAACATATACGGATACCAACAACGGGAACACAAGCAGGGAGGGTTTCCTGTTTGTTTTCTTGTATAAGGCAGATAATACTGCCTCCAGGGAGAAGGAGAGTTGGGAATAGGAAAGGTTATATAATGTTTTACTATTCAAATTAACATATGATACACACTTTTACCTATTAAACTCTTTTAAATTTTATGTGGATTTATGCTATTACATCATAATTCCCTTTTACTCTACCTATCTCCAAAAAAGATTAAAGACAAAACAAGCGAACTACTTAACACTTGGGATAAAATGTTATTCATACTATTATTATTCTGCAGAGTAGAAAGACTTCAAAAAGAAAAGTAACACTGATAGAACAAAGAAAAATGTCTAAAATTCTTACAATGAAAACATCAGCTAGCTAGTTCATTTTTTCTTTTCTTTTTTTTTTTTTTTTTTTGGTATTTTTTCTGGTACTGGGAATCTAACTCATGACCTTGCGCTTGCCAGGCAGGCCCTGTGCCGCTGAGCTAAATCCCCAGCCTCATCCATTTTCATTCAAGATTTCTACATAAAATGATCTCCCATAAAAATCAATCTTATTTGGTGATTGTTAACCAGTATAACTTGAAGCATCTTTTTAAAATTTTAAGGTACACAACTCTCTAAAATGAATGTAATCATTACATATTGCAAACATGTACTAATAAAATTTTTAAAAAATAAAATTATTCTTTCACAAAAAATAAAAATTTTTAGGTTCCTCAAAGATTATGCAAACTAAGATTAGCCACTAAGTGTAATTTTTTTAACTAGCACTAACTTATCTGATTTGATCAAATTTTCTAGCCAATTAAGAGCTACAAGTTTTGAAAAATAATTACAATACAGGAAAAAAGTTTCCTAAATATGACTGTTCTTCTCTGACTCCAGAGCAATGGAAATAAAGTGTCATGCAGGAAACATGGAGGAAACTGGCGAAGATGTAAACAATAGGGATTAGAGACCATGGAGGACTGGAAAAAATAGCCACACACACACACACACACACACACACACACACACACACACACACAGCCCTCCAGAGTAGACATGCAGACCCTCAGCTATCACGAAGTGCTACAATGCAGCAATTTCAGCTAAGTAGTGATTACACTCTTCCAATTTTTCTAGACAAACCAAAACTAAGGACTTTTGCATGTAATTTTTCTGACTTCCACAATGCTACACAAAACACATAAAGCATTCACCTGTATATGAAACGTGCAAGCAACCAGTGTTTGACCCCAACTCTAGTATACCTCATGACTGTTACAAGATATAAACCCTCTCTGAGCGCTTATGTAAATAGACTTGTGACTGGGTTGTAGACAAGTATTTATCAATTGACAAGTGTACTACTAAATATTACACACACACACACAAAGAACTGTTTTATTGTATATGCATGATACATAGTAATTAAGACTTTACAAAAAGGGTAACAGGGAAACTACAGGAGCCTACCAAATGATTTTTCTTTTAACCAAACAAATGATTCATATAAAGGTAAATGTCACATGGTTTACATCTGAGAAGGCATCACTTACTTTTTTACCAAAAACAAAGTTCACTTAGTGAGATCATCCAAAAACATACCAACAGCTGCAACTCCCACACAAAAATGACCAAGTTCAATTGGGGGTAGACTGGAAAAATCCCAAAATTTTTGTTACATGGCTACTTTCAGTACTCTATGCTCCATAAGCAGCAGAATGGATTTAACCCCTCCCCATTAGTTTTTTCATTTCATCCTTGTCTGTCCATCAGATTATTTCCTAAAATATACAGATATTAGAAAATTAATAAAATCTGGAATATGCAATTAAAAGAACATCAGAGTGGGTACCATGAAATTTTATTCAGTACCAT